TTCAACTTCCATACACTTTTTTGAGTGTGTTTATTATACTTTTTTAGGTTAACAGTGGGACCATTGCTTTAAATTTAGAGGTGGTTCACCTATAAAAGCAAATGTAACAACATGCCACTTGAATGTATAACATACTCTTTAAAAATAAGCTTATTCTCTCATTGCAGATGTTTTGTTCACCTATTAATTGCTAGATTATATTTTCATCTTGATTAAAATTGTTACTTTCCTGAAGAAATTCTTTTCCTAGGCCCTTGCGTATATTTCACATGAACTTGAATGGCTGGGGCGGGGGCGTGCCTGTGTGTGCATATATGCATGTGTGTGCATGCACACATAACGCTTTGACAAACATCTATGACATGTGTGGCATGAACATATACATCTCGTACTTGTGTGGCATGAACACTCCCACCTAATATATTTGTTGTTTGAAGAGATTGTTCATAGTTTTGTTTCCTCTCCCAGTCTTTTTGACAGCGTGACTTGTTATTTTACATTATTTTCATTTTATGTGATTGCACTTTTGGAATCTTTCTTTAGGTGCAACGAGGGACGTGTCGGTAGACATTGCGAATGTAGCACAGATGAGGTTAACAGTGAAGACATGGATGCTTACTGCAGGAAAGAAAACAGTTCGGAAATCTGCAGTAACAATGGGGAGTGCGTCTGTGGACAGTGTGTTTGTAGGAAGAGGGATAATGCCAATGAAATTTATTCTGGCAAATTCTGCGAATGTGATAATTTCAACTGTGATAGATCCAATGGCTTAATTTGTGGAGGTAAGAAAAGGGTCTGACATGGTTGTAACATGCGATCCCGTCTAATGTGATAAAAAATTTAAGAGTTTACTTGGTGAGTAAGTAGAAAACTGGCAGTGTTAAGGGTCAGTCTATCCCCTAGGGACACTTTCTCCCATGTTGTTGCTTGTTTTTACTTTTAAATCAGTACCATGATTTTATATTTTTATCATTGTTCTGAGAAATGATACACTTAATCGCAGGAAATGGTGTTTGCAAGTGTCGTGTGTGTGAATGCAACCCCAACTACACCGGCAGTGCCTGCGACTGTTCTCTGGACACTTCCGCTTGTGAGGCCTCAAATGGCCAGATCTGCAATGGCCGGGGCATCTGCGAGTGTGGCGTCTGCAAGTGTACAGACCCCAAGTTTCAAGGGCAGACTTGCGAGATGTGTCAGACTTGCCTCGGTGTCTGTGCTGAGCATAAGTAAGTATTTCCTAATTGCCTGAAATAGTTGATATTTACTCTCTGCTGATCTAAGTACGTATTAGCACTAGAACCAGAACGGTGCCAACATTAGATTATACTATAAATAAAATACCTGCCACTTGGAAGCCTACTCTTTAATTCTTAAAAATTCTCTTTCAACAGCTAGTAGGTATTTCATGATAATGAAGTGTGTCATATGAGAGTTGTACTATTATTTTGATCTGAATTTGCTATGTAATTGAATCTACGTGGTAACTTTTGTTAAGATTACCAATTGCTTAATTATTATGTCTTGACTAAGCAAAATTGAGGAGTTTTCCCCTTTAAGAATTTTATTGTACCTGTAACACATTGTTTAAATTATTATGGTTTTATGTTATATATTTAATATG